TAAGTCTTTTAAGAATCAGCTATTTAGAAAGACATATAGCAAACAAATTTTTAGGGAAAATATGAATTGTTACTCAAAATATAATCTTACAGGTCCTAATATGAGCACAAAGCAAATCTAGATGAACAAAGACCTACCAGAGATAACGTTTATTTTCAAATTTGTATTGAATTGTCTTTGCAGTTACAGAATTTGTCTTTCCAATAACGACCTTTGACAAAAATTAGTATGATTGCATTCAGACAAGAAAGTGTAAAACATGTTTCAACCTCAGCATATATAAACCTTAGATCATTACCACAAGTCAACTGTTAATGACATTGACATTAAAATAAAAGAATATGTGACTAATCAATATTGATGTTTCTTTGAAGTAACACTGAAGGTCTTTCCAATAACAAAATAGCTGTTACAGAAAAGACTGTTATATGAAAGACAAATTGTAAGAGTAAATTAAGAGAAAAATAATGACTAGTCCCTTTCCCATTTCAGACAACATTCTTGTGTTATAATTATGGTTCCAAATGCAAAGAGAAAAACATATTTGTGGAAAATTGGGTATTTTTTTATAATTGATGTTATCTAAAAGACACCGATAAAAAATACTCGCAAATGCTGACCTTTTCAACTTGATTTTCTTTGAAAATTTTGTCTTGAACTCAACACCACATGTTCATCACTCTCAACCAGAAGTTGTTAATAAGCATAACATGTAGTTCCACTTTCACAGGATGAGGGATCATTAATTATTTCATAATTCTATGGAACTGTTACAGGAAAGACATTTTTCTTGTATACAAGAGAAACAAGTTGTTTTTTATATCAAAATTCAGCTTGAAAATCATGAACATCTACCAGGAATGGGAAAAAGGTCTATTCTTTTCAACCACTCCAGAAACAATACCTTCTTAAATAAAATTTAGTGCGCAGCAGACACATGATGTTTGGTTTTTGCACCTGGATACATGACAAAATGCATGTCCCTTGTTACAAAAAGGAAAAAAATAAACATTATTTGGTCCTTTTGTTTGTGATAAAAATTCCCAAGTAAGATTAGATATTGGCAATGAAGGAGAAATCAGATTTTTAACACACTGATAAAATTTGACGGTTTTATTGAGGTTTTAATCCTGATACGGGAAAAAGCTGCATCTTTTGAGAATGACTCACTTCAAATGTTGGCAATCTATAGCCTGATTTTATATTGCATTGTCATCTATAGTTAAAATGTTTTTGAGTTAACTACTAGTTTTAAATTGAAATCTGTAATTAACTAGTTATTTTACTGTTCTTCGTTGACATCGTTTTATAATTTACCTTTAATTATGAAATTATAACTTGGTTTTAGTCACGGTATGGCTGAAATATTGCCGATGTGACTTAAAATCTTAACACATTCAATCACTCTACATCGACAGATGTAAAGATCAATTTATGAAGAACAAATCAAACTCCTAGATCAGTCTCTGTCATCTTATCCACACAATCAGAAACAAAACACTTAAATGCGTGGACGCATGTTTCCCGAACAATATTGTAATTTGCTACTTCAACAAACCCATCCTATCAATGTCCAGATATGTTCTTCTGAGTATTCATATTGAAGAAATTAGCGTGCTTCCTTCGGAATTAATACAGAATTCATAATTGATCTTGACCCAACTAATCAGCGCTCGAAAATGCGGTATTGCCTCGCCTTAAATACAGACGAATATAATAATAAGCTACCGGCCAAGAGAAAGTTATCACCTTTAAAGTAACTGTATAAAAAACAAACGCTGGTACAGATTTGAACCGAAGCAGAAAAATAATCGCCAGAAAACAAAATGGCCCCGATAACTACGCAGCCGTCCGAAAACTGTACGAATCGTACATTTTCCAAAACGTGAAAAACCTAATTGTGAGACATTGGTCCAAATGCACAAGCATGGTTGTGGCATAAATACCGATGTTAGACAGAGCAAGCATGCAGTAACCAAAAACATCACCACGAATATGCCAAGACTTACCCAAGCGCAACGACACAGGGCGATCGGTATGGCCAATATGGGGTTTCACAACCACCAAACAGATCCACAAGAGTCAGCTATAACCGGCAGATCCACCTCTGGAACAAATTGGTGACGGCGATAGCACTAGGACACGCTATCAGCAGACGAACAACCCTTTGACGACTTGGTATGACTGGTATACGAGCCTACCGCCACTTCCGTGGAATGTCCTTCACGCGTCTACACCGTCAACGCAGACTGCAATGGACACGGACTGTAAGTCCATGGCAGCGAGGCGACTGGTGACTGGGAGAGAGTGCTCTTTATAGATGATGTCGATTCAGAAACGATGACAGAGTTCGAGTTTTTCAACGTAAAGGAGAGCGGCTGGCACCAATGTACGTTTGTGAAGTTCATCAGTTCGATGGAGGAGGTGTCATGGTAAAGGACAGCATTTGTAGCCAGTGAAAAACAAGACTGGTTACCATTCGAGGAAATCTGAATGTCCAGTGATACAGGGATGAAGTGTTGAGACCTTTTGTGGTACTCTTTATTCGACAACCGGGTTTATAGCATCATAGACCACAAGCGTGTGTCTCGAATAAGCGTCAGGCAAGTTAGATTTAAATTTCTTACGTTGGCAGCCCTCCGTAAAACTGACATGTCGTGCTGTAACTGAACACGATGGAGCAACTGTGGGATGAAGTTAAACGACGTGTGTGTCAGCTTCAGTATACGCTACAGACCCTTGCACAACTGCGGCAAAAAGGGAGAGGGAGGAGGATTCTACAGAACAGAATAGTGGACCTGTTCAATCAATGCATTGTGCTGATACCATGCTTGCCTGGCCCAAAGTCACAGGACAAAATGTATGGTTGTCTGGTTGAGCTATCACTTGCTATTTTCCGGGCCTAAATTACACGACATAATGGTGAATGTCTGGCTTTTTGGATTTCCTTGTGCAACGCGATAGTACAAACGACGTAGCTCTGTACTGACATATACACGTTGGCTCCCGTCTAAGCAAGAGTAAAACAAATGAACGATTCAGTCATCTTTATTTAGATTATGGGTGTATGTGAAAACGTATTCTGAAACAAGTACACATTTTACACAATACAACAGGTGTTCTAACACCATCCGGGGGACCACACTCCACCCCAGTTTTTGGGATCACCCTTGGGGTCTCTAGGGGGGTAGTGTGCCGGCACCATGGACTGTCTCCACCCCTCCAGTCTCTGCTTCATGGAGGCCAAGAGGTCGGGAAACTTGGTCGCCAGGTTATGGCGCTCAGTCGGGTCAGCTTGAAAAGGCACGATACATTTCATTCGGTAACTTCAAAATGCCGCCACCTCAAAATCTATTTAATACTGCGAGTGCGAAAGAGTCAAAACATTAGACACAGTGACATCTTTGTACGTCTCTATGGGTATCTTGGTGGAATATACCTCAGACATGCGCAGTAGCCAACTGATGAGACAAGCTGATTAGGACCAATTTGCTTAATTAGTGTGTGCCGCGAGGATTATTCTAACATTGCCGGTGGCTGACGGGATCTAATTTCTAAGGCTATGACCGAGTACCATAACTATTTCCATAACCAAACAATGGGGAAACATACTAGTATTTTATAATTCACCAGTTTTCGGGGAATAACTTATCTGCGTCGCGAATATTATCTCTGCTCGACCAGGCTGGGATCTTGTATCGAGACATGATACGTTATTAATGAGAACTAGGGTCCTAATTTTTTATTTCAACAAAATAATTCCAGTGTAATTTTTGAAGCAGATAATTTTTGTTTTCCCTCGTCTGAAGCATAATTATTTTGTTTTTAAATCCCAGACACTCTACAGTCACCCATTTGACACAAAATGAAGTGTAATCACATTTTTCTGGCAATAATTCTTAGTGACTGGTCATATATTATAGGGGTGAGTTTGCTGGCTGGAACTGTATGACATTTTGCTGACAAATAGTAATCTTGTTAAATGATATGGTCTATTTTTAAATTTATTTTGACCTCAAAACGGTGCCTCAGTTTCGCTTGATTCTTCTTCTTCATCTTCAGTGGAAGATTGTCTTGCAAGATGTAAAATCGGATCGTATTGATACGGTCTAACATCCATTTCAGAAATAACATTAGGAACATCTTTTACTGCTTCAGAATCCACGGACGCTGTTAAGTTGTGAGGTAAAATCAAAGAGGAAGCCATCAGCAATAGGCACTTATGACGTCATGTCATGTGATACCCCATCTGCTCATTAACTGTCGGGTGTTTCCGTAATAGGCGGAAATACAAGTACGTTTTTGTGTTTTTATTGCTATTTTACAAACATTTTGTTCAATTTTAATCACGGAAGGTGACTTTTAGAATATCCTTTACAATATATCAAAAGTTTTGTTTTCGTTCGTATTCTCCTTTAATCGTATAATATGTGTCATTTTGATGTATGGCTAGATTGGTCTAAATTGCAAACACCTGAAGGGATGATATAAATACAGCTAGGGTCCATGCTGGAAGCAAATGTACTGTAAGTCCCCATGGTTCCTAGTATGGTGATCTACCTTCAGTTGTTGGCAATCTATAGCCTGATTTTATATTGTATTGTCATCTATAGTTAAAATGTTTTAGAGTTCACTACTAGTTTTAAATTGAAATCTGTGATAAACTAGTTATTTTACTGTTCTTCGTTGACATCGTTTTATAATTTACCTTTAATTATGAAATTATAACTTGGTTTTAGTCACGATATGGCTGAAATATTGCCGATGTGACTTAAAATCTTAACATATTTAATCACTCTACATCGACAGATGTAAAGATCAATTTATGAAGAACAAATCAAACTCCTAGATCAGTCTCTGTCATCTTATCCACACAATCAGAAACAAAATACTTAAATGCGTGGACGCATGTTTCCCGAACAATATTGTAATTTGCTACTTCAACAAACCCATCCTATCAATGTCCAGATATGTTCTTCTAAGTATTCATATTGAAGTAGTCTCCGGGCTTGCCGTATATCAGCTTCAGATCCCGATACCTAGGGGAGGCAACATTTATCATCACCCATCTGTTACTGTCCCTTCGGGGACGCCGGGCAAGTTATAAAATAAACACTTTCATATGGAGGTATGTCTCCTAGGTAACCCAGAATTTTGAACGTGGGTTCCATGACGAGATTCATGAGATACCGATAAACTCTGGATTGGCTACAGACCTGATGGCCGAGTCGTTCCTGAGGTCATCTATGTTGTACACAAACTCCTGCCTGTTGCTGGGCGAGTTCCGACTCAGCATGTCCCACTGGTTCACGCCATCCAAGCCGGGGTCTGAGATTACAAGCAATTAATGTCGCTCCCACAAGAAGAACGCTAAAAAGAAACCAGTGGCGCTTGCCTACCTACACAGAACAGTTACCCTTACAAAGTTATCATTTATCATAACCAGCTCAAAACAAGGTTTTCCGAGTGCTTGTAGATAATGGAAACTGGCCATACACGTTTTGTGAAGAATCCGATTCATATTGTATTATTTACAGATGACATAGAGATTAATGCATAAAGTGTGTTAAACCCAACTCACTCACGCACCCACTGGCCCCCTCACTCACTCGCTCACTCACTCACTCACCTGGTCGACCCCCAGCTAGGCGGAGGAGTGTGGGGAACCAGTCAACTGCGTGTATCATTCTGCAACACACAAAATACTTGTATTAGACACAAGAAATAGCAATTCGCCTGAGACAATATGTTTTCGATTTATGAGCACGATACTTTTACACCGACCTACAAACGACTTTCATCATACACTTTTCGTCCTTCATCATATGCACACATAACACAAGATATCATTGATCACGGAATACGAAACTTTCATAGAGTCGACTTCTGTGACGTCATTCTATTGTTTTGTTAGTTAATTGTCAGGAATGGACAGTTGATTGTCAAAACATCATTTTCTAGAGCCAACATTTGAATTACTATACAACTGACGGAACCGTTTTGTTTTGAATACTTTATTTTGTCAAAAAAACATACATACCGGGCTCAAACCCGCGCAATATGATAGCTCATTAAATCATATTTTGCTTTGGCGACACGTGATATAATGGTGTGAAATTAACTATCAGATATTTTTAGAAAATAAAATGCACAATGTCACTGCACTTGACAATAACGGACGTAAAGTATCCTTTGATAAAACAAATAGATATATAGTAGTAACATAATTTCCTTGAAGGACTCTACATTTCTAATAATTCCCGTTGGCCTGTTCTCAGTGAGGATCCATAGAAACTGTGAATGGTTTGGTACAATGTATTGTAAAAAGTAGCTCGCGACAGCAACTGCTGAGAACATTTTATATATGTATCACTTAAAAGCGGAAGTTATAATATAGACTACACATTTCTGGATTATTTTGCAAATATTGTCGACAACAAAGCTTTTTGTCCAAACAAGTCAGTCTATCATCTGTTTACTGACTCACCCTGTGTTGGTGTAGTTCAACTTCTCCAACAGCGTCTTACTGTACACGAACGCAACCCCTTTGGTCCCTCCTTCCCACAGAGTCGTCTTGGCCCCCCGGAGAGGCAGGTTGTTCGCCCCAAGGTACGTAGGACCTCCATTCTGTATCAATACTGGTTCATCATTATACATTTTGATACCGTTTTATCATTAAAGGCATCATGTTTTATGTGATTCATGAAGCCTAATTCTGGACATGGGTCGGTCGGTCGGAAAAAAACAACAAATAGAAAAACCTTATTAAAGACAAAATTATCTGAATAATGTTATTGAATCACAATGCTTTTGCGTTCTTTGGAACTGTGGCAGTGTTTGACTTAAAGATAAACATTTTATATGACGAGGCGGTACACTTTAGGTTCGAGTCGGCGGTGTTGGAATGAAATAATAATTTTATTTTTTATTTTATATATAAATATATGTACACATGTATATATAAAAAATCAAATTTATTTTATTTTTTATGGGGTTTAGCGGCAATAAAATTAGAAGGGTCGGTCGGGCGATGAGAAACACAATAAATACAAATGATGCCCTAATAGTTGGAGAATCATGCTTGCGTTGATAACATGCGTAAAACGCTCATTTATACTTAGACCAATACTATTCTTACTCATGTAAGTTACAGGGATAAATCCATTAAACTTCAATCCAAGTCTTCCAATGTTACCATGTTACTATTTGAGTCTAAATGATAACGTAAAGTCAGATATTTAATTTTGGAAAACACAGTTATGTTTTGGTGTTATGTTTCCCCGTTCCCATAATGACGCACGTCGGTGGTGAAAACGAGGAGGAGGTTGTCTATGAGGCCGCTGTCTCGTAGTGCCTGGGTGATGTTGCCGATCGCCTCATCCAGCGCCGATACCATGCCTGGCATGTACAGAAGGAATGATATAACATGGCGTCTTGCACAGTTTGAGTGTGTCAGAGATCAAACCAGTGGTCAACAATGGCCTGGCATGTAGAGAAGAAATGATATAACATGGCGTCCTGCACAGTTTGAGTGTGTCAGAGATCAAACCAGTGGTCAACAATGGCCTGGCATGTACAGAAGGTATGGTATAACATGGCGGCCTGCACAGTTTGAGTGTGTCAGAGATCAAACCAGTGGTCAACAATGGCCTGGCATGTACAGAAGGAATGATATAACATGGCGTCCTGCAGGGTTTGAGTGTGTCAGAGAGCAAACCAGTGGTCAACAATGGCCTGGCATGTACAGAAGGAATGATATAACATGGCGTCCTGCACAGTTTGAGTGTGTCAGAGGTCAAACCAGTGGTCAACAATGGCCTGGCATGTACAGAAGGTATTGTATAACATGGCGTCCTGTAGAGTTTGAGTGTGTCAGAGATCAAACCAGTGGTCAACAATGGCCTGGCATGTACAGAAGGTATGGTATAACATGGCGTCCTGTAGAGTTTGAGTGTGTCAGAGATCAAACCAGTGGTCAACAATGGCCTGGCATGTACAGAAGGAATGATATAACATGGCGTCCTGCAGAGTTTGAGTGTCAGAGATCAAACCAGTGGTCAACAATGGCCTGGCATGTACAGAAGGAATGATATAACATGGCGTCCTGCAGAGTTTGAGTGTCAGAGATCAAACCAGTGGTCAACAATGGCCTGGCATGTACAGAAGGAATGATATAACATGGCGTCCTGCAGAGTTTGAGTGTCAGAGATCAAACCAGTGGTCAACAATGGCCTGGCATGTACAGAAGGAATGATATAACATGGCGTCCTGCAGAGTTTGAGTGTCAGAGATCAAACCAGTGGTCAACAATGGCCTGGCATGTACAGAAGGAATGATATAACATGGCGTCCTGCAGGGTTTGAGTGTCAGAGATCAAACCAGTGGTCAACAATGGTCATGAGCGATGATGAAACAGGTTCACTGATGAATGGAATCGATCAGTAGTCAATGGATGTGATATGAATTGGTTCTGGTCTAAAATGAACCAATGAACTTAGCCACTTAGACTACCCAACCCCCTGCATCAGTCAACTGCACACAGCGAAGTCTGATATTCCAGCATTCCATGTATAATGCGAAATGAATTACCACAATAGGTCCTCCGCTGTTTCGTCCTGATGGTCTTGTACATATCTTCAAATCGTTGAGGAACCTAAACCAGAAACCTTGTTATTCATCGCCAATAGGCGCAAGATAAATACCTTGCGGAATTGACCTGGTTTATAAATATTAGCGATTTGCTGTTCGGGTTGATAAGGTATTTGCATATGGTTTGCTATCACCGTCTGCATTCTGTATACCATCTTCTGTCTTACAGTAGTACTGTACGCTGTGTGTATATCTTCCAGAGCCTCATAGCTGTACTCAACAATATGTGCATACCACTTTGTACCTTACAGCAGTATTGGACGTTGTGTGTATATCATCCATCATCTTATAGCTGTACGGTCCCATAAGTATGTACCATTGTGTATCTTACAGCAGTAGAGCACGATGACTGTATCTGGCTTTCTTTGCTGTTTAATGCTGCTCAGGTTTCCAGGATCCCGATCCACAAAGCGTTCTTAACGTTAGGACCTGTCGTAACTCTATAGTTTATCATAGGCTTACGTTTTGTATCCAGTACAAAAGTGCTTGAAGTTCAGTGATTGACATCATGAGCATCTATCCACGCACCTGGTCACGATGACATGCATTAAACAGGTCACTGAGTCTGACCTCCCTATATTGTTAGTTAATCGCCTATTACGACAAGCATGGGTTGCTGAAGACAAATTCTAGTGATGGGTCACGATGTGTGTATCTGAGCTACCTGTAGTGGTTCGTGGACAGACTGGAAGGGCAGGTACAGGTACAGGGGTTTGGTCTTGTCGTGGGTCCTGATGATTTCTTCAGCTCGCGATGCAAACGTCATCTGAAGCAAACAATAAAATGAATCAACCGTATACAGTATATATACACTGGGTGGTCATCCATGGATTTGGCAGATTGTACAATGGGTAAATATTTATGGATAGACTCGATAGATGGTAATTGCCATCATTCGTGACCAACTCGTGTCGTGTCAGAGAATTATAGCTCTTTGATATTCTAACGTAATTATTACAAGCTTTTCCACCATATATTTCCAAATGTATATTTCCAAATATTGTTTAAGAATAACAAATGGGATTTGTTTTATTGAATATGCAAATAAATAATCGTTTTACAGCTACAATAAATCCCAAAACAAATCCCAAATATTTAAATGGATACGCTGAACAATGAATGACCACCCAAAACGTCAGACTAAAATATTCCAAGAGATGAGAAATATAAACCGAATGTTAAATATCAAAGTTGGTTAGTTATATATAGATGTAATATTATTGTTTTGAAACTCGTAGCGATTTATGATTATATTTCCTAAAAATGTTGGTAAGCGCACTTACAATCTCCCAAATAAGCCCACAAGATGTCAGAAATACACTCAGTTGTAACCATGACAGTCGTTATGTAAAGAAACGCATGTGCGTGTATTTGAAGCTCTCACCATCCATGACATTATCCTTATTAACAACTTCACGTGAGGCAACACAATTCTGTTAGCTACGTTCTTTGTACTTTCAATATGACGATATATTTTTCATGAAACAATCACATAATGTTATAAACGATTTAAGTAGTCGGGATTATTTTTATCAAAGCACCGCAGTTATTACGCGATTTGATTGGATTGCCACGATTCTTTGCTTAATGGCGTACTATTCAGGAACAAGTCTTCTTGTAGGCCACGGAAAGAGGCGAGTAGTTGCGAATTTAACCTCCATGTGTCCATCTGTTTTCCA